CATGACCACGCGCCACCCGGCTCTCCAAGTGAGCGAAAACTCCCTCCTTTAAGTATTTGTTGCATCTTCCGAGATCCTTTTTACTGACTTTGGCATCAGAGGGCCTTTTTGATCAACACCCCCCGAGTGTGGTCCATTGAACTAAATTTATTTTGCAAGGAGCGAGGGAGAAGAAGTTCAAAGGGTGGAAGAATCGTCTACAAATATTCTCCCGTGAGATTATTTGCACAAACAATTAGTTTAAGAGATGGATGATATTACGCCTTCTTGAAGTCAATTATTTTCCTTTTGTTTTATCCCTTTGTTGGCATCTTTCTCAATTGAAGATATCCCTTTGGTGGCCTCTTTTTCAAATGTAGTTTATTAATTTTATAGGAATTATAATTGAATTAACACATTAGTTGACCCGTATTCGGAGAGTGTCTTGACCGTGTATGGGGAGTGTTTGACCGTGGACAAGGCGATAGCCATTGGACACGGGTGTCCGAGAAGTGACTGACACTCCCACTCTTGGGCTTAGTGGAGTGTCCATGCAACATAGTTGATTCCTATAATTTGGTCATATCTTCAGGAATTGTGTCACAAGAATAATTCATGCATTAGGCTCATTTTATCACAAAGACTAGTTTGATAAACATTTCGTATTTCATTTTTATATGGAAGATACAAGGTAAAAATTTAAAAGGAAGAATGAGAAAGAAGGGATGAGAGAGGGATGGATAAGAGGGTAAGAAACTGTAATGGAATGCTACACAAACTGAAAACAAATACTTACAAGCAATTGCAAATATTTTTTTCTTTTCAAGTTCTTTTTCATGCATTCTCCTTTTCTTCTCCATCTTCTCTACATTCTCTGATCTTCTTAATTAAACCCCAAACAAGTTCCCTATTTAGGGTAGATAGTCATGCTATTAAATAATTTTCTTATATATAAATTATAATAGATAATTTTGTATTACATGAATTGCTCTTTGCTGATAATTTCACAATGAATTCACGCATAATTAAATATGTTCTAAGCCTATCTGAAAACACAGATCATGTGCCACCCATAGTTGGGGCCCATCCAGGACCACCTCATGGTTCAGCCAAAAAAAAAAAACACAGTGCATGAATATATACTTAACTTATAATCAATATATATTTTTGAAGACCAGAAATAAAAGAAGCTATAACTCTTCATTGGGTCGTCGAGATAGCCTAGATTCGGAGGTGATCTAAGCAAGGCTTGGTGAGGGCAGCAGGGCTTGCTTGAAGCTCCATGAATTTCTCATATGTCATCCCAACGAATTTTGGGGCTTGGCCTTCTCTCTCTAACAACTCTGGGATTGGTAAAGCTGGTGTGTCCAGTGAGGGTCCATGGGGCACAGCTATTGATATCCTTGTAGCTTTGTTGTTCACAACAGCCCTATGCCATATGCTCTTGTACTTGTCGTTTGTCAAAATCTGCCACAAAGAATTAACCATACTCATAAAAAATCGGTACCATTAATTTATGAAAATAAGTAGAGAATTATTAGATTTTGTAATTCATAGATAAGATGGGTTTTGGATTTAAAAAAGTTGGGTGTTATTTTGGTACCTGAATTTGGTCACCAATGTTAACAATAAAAGCTCCCGGAGCAGCATTCACCAACACCCATTGGTCTTTGTGCTTGACTTCAAGGCCACTCATCTCATTCTGGATGAGGAGGGTCACCAGTCCATGATCGGTATGAGGAGGAATGCCGATCGCTTTATCGGGCTGTGGGCACGCCGGGTAGTAATTTGCGGCCAGAATTTGTAAGCCACGGTCCCAGTTTATGGCCTTTGCTATGTAGTCAGCCTCCAACCCTAAGCTCTCTGATATTCCCTTCAATATTTCTGTGGCTACTTCTCGGGTTCTTTTGCTGTACTCCAGTGAAACCTCGCTGTATCCAGCAGGTTTGTAGAGTGAGTTGAATTCAGGGTGGGCTATGACCTTGAGGAAATCCCTCCATAGACGAACTTTTTCAATGCCGACGTTGGCACTGGTACCGCACCCAATTGGGTCCAGAAGGTTCTTTGTTTGAAACTCCTTCTTCTCCTCCTCCGGTAGGTCAAAAAATCTATGACATGCATTGATCATTGATTTCATCAACCTCTCTGGTACACCGTGGTTGGTCACCTATTAAACCCAGCATGAATACATTTTATGTCTGATTAGCTTCATTTTCATCACACACGTTAATGCATATAAAAAAAACAAAATCAACTTGATATTCATAGTCTGGCAACATAAGCATCACGAAAGAGCATTTCTCTGTGATTGACACAAATGGAAGTACATACCTGGAAGAAGCCCCATTCCTCGCAAGCTCTTCCTAGCTCCTCAATCACTTTTGCCCGTTGATCAGGAGAACCAGAGGTGAGAAGAGCAAAATCAATGGTGGGGATTGAGTGTTCGGGGTCATTTGCATCTCCTTGTTCATTAGGATTTTTGGTATAAGTGTACTCGGAAGGTACAGAACTGAGAGCAGCTGAGGCAGCTAGTCTTTTGATGCTTGCAACTTCGGTTTCATGACCATTGGATGCCACAGTTAATGAAGTTACTGCAGGTGCCATTGGAAGAGAGATTGAAAAGGAAGTGTTTTGAGAACGAGAGATGTTTAAATGAAGTGTTTGAAGTAGGGATGGAAGGCTTATGCAAATAATGGTTCATATTTATAGGCAAGAAATCTAGGTTTTTCCACGTGAAACGAATAATCTATAAATAAATTGGTTTTTAATTTAGAGAGCGAGTGATCTGATAAGGTCTCCAAGCTTGACCAAGCCTACCAAACTCTGTCAAATAACACAAGTTAACGAATAATCTATAAATAAACGTGGATTCTATTTTTAAGCTCTACTAGCAAAAGAGCCCGCGCAATGCTGCGGGTTTTGAAATTACGTAGACAAAATAAGATTATTTATATATACAATGAGATTTAACTTGTAGCATTATGCTTAACTTAGTATAAGTGGCAAAAAAGGAAGTAATAACATATTTAATAAGCTACTTGTTATGTTAAAATAGTCGACATGTTTGTATATACATTGAGATGCTAATAGTGGAAAGCGGCTATTACAATAACAAAATTTGGATAGTTTTGAACAGCATGTTGTTTAATTGGTTGGGCTTTGTTTTGCAATTTCTTCCTGACTTTTCTTTTCTTTGATGGAGGTCTTCACTCTGTTATAAAAAAAGTGGGAAAATAGCAAGTGTTAATGTTGATGAATGGGGAAAATTGAGTTAGGACAATAATCATAAATATTTAATTATGTATAAATAGGAATAATATAATTTAACAATTTAATAAGAAAGTTATAAATGTTTTAATATGTATTTTAATGAGATGAGTGAATTGTAAAAGAGAGAATACAAACTTTAATGTTGGAGTAAGAGAACTAATGAGCAAGTTGTAGATGGGTTTTCAATTGAAGTAACACAAAGTAAACATATTTTAAATTCTGTATTCATCTAAAGAAAAAGTTGAAAAGAGGTAAAATAATTATAGTTGGATATATTGAAGAAAAATTGAAGAAAAGGAACTAAATATAATTTTTAGTTTTTAATTCTTTTATGTGTTAGGCACATATGACTAAAATGTCTTTTGCCCTTATTTCAAGTTAAAATTACTTAAAAGGTTTGACATTTCTGTCGAAAAACGGGCAGTCTCCCCCGAAAAACGGATATTTCCTAAAAAAATTCACCTGTAAATATAACAATTTAATAGTATTCTCAAACGTTCAGCATACAAAAATTTCATTTATACGTAATTCAATAGTGGTTTAAATGGTTTTTAGACCTATATAATAAGTAGAGAGAATCTTATAAGAAGAGGAGAAAAAGCAAGAAAGATTCATAATGCAACCATAATCAACATTGACAATATCACAATGCAACCATAATCAAGTAATTAATCAAATTAATTAAAATGTTAGCAAAATTGTAGATCGATAGGCATTGACATGAGTATTGTTCTATATCAGATTTTCCAATTAACACAAATATTAGAGTTCTAGAAAGCTTGAATCTAGCTTAGCATAACCAAGTTGAAAAATAGTTTTATAAAGTATTAGGCTGCCGGATTTCTCCTACTCAAAGAGGGATCTCAATAAAATTAGAACTCACAAACTAAGAACAGATTGAGGATGGTTACATTCATATTTTCTAAGCATAGATATGTTATTTATTTTAATATAAAAAAAACTAACCCAGTAGAACTATATAAAGGATCCTTTTGTAACCAAATGAAGACACATTGGGAATATATATAAAGGATCCTTTATTGTAAAACTCTTTCAAGGCACTATATATATGAATATTTATACCTGCATTCTTGGGTAAAAACCTCCTATTAACAGAAAGATCAAATTAATATGATCAAACTCAAACACTTTGCTAAAGCAAAACAGCAATTAAGCAACATTAAGAAAAGAAAAGGATCCATAAATAGCAACATCATTATTCGGTAAGGAAAAATATGATAAAAATCCAGAGATTCTATTTGTGATAATGGTATAAAAGCACATGATTTACGATAAATAGAAAGTCCAACACAAATCAGTGGCTAGTGTAGAAAGAAACTGAAGCAAAATTTGGAAGCTGAAAGACACCGCACAAACATAAAGAAAGAACTATGGATATATTTATATTCATATATATTTTACTACCCACATACAAATATTATATGTATGTGTATATTTAAAAAAAAATTAAACTATCTTCATTTAAACTTTTAATTATAAATTCTTTTATACATGAAACAACACATATAAGATAAGTATATTCATTCGCGCTTGACAATTGTAGTATTTCATTTGTGTAGAGCAAGACTAATATATTGAATGCAAGTAGCACAAACTACTTTCATTCATAATGAACAAAGAGTATAGATCATTGTGTGTGTGTATATAGATATATTATAGGGTAGTATCATATGACACTTATTAAAACACACTTTTGTTTTAAATGAAACATGTTTAAAAAATTAAGGGAATTGACTTGAGAGAGAATTTAGAGGAAGACAAATGTAATACGGAAGAACAATTCTTAAAGCTCAACGATAGGATAGAAATATTATATACAGCTTTACCTTTTTCAAATTTTATTTGTGAAGATTCCAATTATTTCCTTTATTCATTCACCCTCCCTGATTGATAATGTGTGGCTGTAGGAAGGTAAATTTATTTGTTGCTCAATTGCCCTAAACTAATATTGTATCTTTTGTAGCTCTGAGATGTCTAAGGATCAAATGGTTGTAGATCTTACATCACGCACAAAAGTACTATTCTGGAGTGGGATTTTTCTTGGTTCAGTGTCAATTGGAGTCCTTGCCTATGCTGTTTCCAGGTACAAATTTCCCTTGAAATGTTAAATTTTTTTACTCCACTCTGCTTGTGAATTCCTGTTCAATCTCGAAAACTATTAAATGTCTGTAGGCTGGTGTGAGGGACAACTTCGTATAATACTGAAGTTTTGAAATGACGTCACCATCAAAGAAAATAAAGGAAACATTGTATATGAAGGGGACGGAGGAGTTGCAGGTGGCGCTGCAGAGTATTCCTTTAATGGTGATTATTTTTGGGGATTTAGTAGCACTGGAGACTTCATGGATGACAATGATTTCCAAAATACACGTTACTCTGTATCTCTGGCATCTTCAAATCTCTCTGATTTATACACGACAGCACGCATATCCCCAATTTCAATCACATATTTCCATTATTGCTTAGAAAATG